TTGGATAACTGAAAAACAGTATGCTGGCGACATCCTATCAGAAGCAATTATTTGCGAGAAAGCTAAAAAGATACATGCTGATCTCATGAAAAATCAAGCAGGAACTAGCCAGGAAAGCGAGGTGTTAAAGCCAGCCATTTTTTTCACATGAGAACGGATTAATCGTTTTTACATTACTTCTTATGGGAAAGGTTGGTTTGGTATACGTCCAATTCGGTATAAGTCCAAACATTACGAACGGATTAAGGTCGTATACGAGGTTCCACTGTAATTATTAATAATTGTTTTGTTTCCGCGCTAAAATTTATTTCGAGTTCTTTATAAAGGAGAATGGGTAGTTTTAAGCTATTTATGGGCTATATATCATATTTAATTTCGCCCATTAAGGACCTCATCGGGCATTATATAGCTTGGTAAATATGAAATATTGGATGTAAAGGTCTATTGTCTTTACAGAGTGATTCATACGAGTGAGAGCTTTATTGCCATTTTCTTTTGAAGTTTATTCTTCGATGATGAATACTTTTATACAAAATTCTACTTAATCCAGTGAGCCATTTGTTGTAACAAATATATTTTTCTGTAAACTTTACCTGTTTTTTATTTCTGAAACATTGAATTTTCATTAGTAATTTTTGGCTAGTCCCTGCGAAAACTGTAAAATTACACTACAATTTCTGTCATTGCGTAAAGTGAAAATATTAAAATTTATTACAACTGTAGCGTAATTCGTTATCGGTAATCTTAATTACATGTTAATAGTAATATTGCTGCGAGAATTTAGTGTAAATATTTTCTATAGGCTACTAATAATTTATTTTCGGTAGTTTCTGTGTAAGTGATTTTGTCGAATTGGATTAGCAGCCCTCTAAAGATTTGATCTATGATGAAACGGTTATTACAATATATAGAACAAATCTGCAACGTCTGTAATCATTGCAATAATAATATATTGTAACAAATTAACTTTGTAAAACTTGTAATTATCAGAGTACAGTTGTTGCAGAACGAATTTCATAAGAAGCCTAACTTCTCGTATCACGTTATATATATATATAGAAGCACCTGTATTGATTTCTCTTATATTGTTGTAGGTGCTTGAATCTGACATTATCTGATGTTGCCTAAGAAATGTTTATATCCTGTTCTAATAGCGAACCGAAGAAGCTGGTGCAAAGTAAGTTAACAGCATAAATTATAAAGGACTGTACTTCATTTATCATCTATAAAGGAAAAATCTTGACGAATCTCGCAACAATTTCAATGAAGATATCAAAATATTTTCTTCCCATAGTAAACAATATAGGCTAGCACGATTTATGTTACACTACAGTTAGTGTTCTCATATAAATAAAAATACAAAAAAATTAAAACAATAATTTCTCGGCTTCAATATTGTTGATGGAAAAAATTGCTTTCGTTTTCTGTTTTTTTTTCTATTACGTAGAAAATGTTTTAAGTAATAGAAAAAATGATTCCTCCTTTTGTGGATATAAGTTTGCTTTAAAGGATCAAATAGAAGAAGTGTACAATTAGAAAATACTTCTGTAGAACTTCATCGCAATCATCTGTTCGGAGTAATAACTGATATAAGAAATTTGCTTCCGTAATCGTGCTACTGTATACTGCACGATTCAACCTTGGTTAAGAATTTGAATTTCTTGCTCAATTAATATTCAATTTGTTGGAGGGTACCTGACACATCGTACTAGAGCGTATAGTATGCAGCACGTCACCGGAAGAAGGGCCAATTCAAAGGAAGTGACGTATTCCTTTTCTAGTCCACCGGGAAAATTTTGCTGTCCCGTTCTTCAACCTTTTCTTTTTTTTTGTACTTGTTGTTCTTTCGATCAGTGTACATGTAAGTCACCATTACATAAATAATTAGGCCAGTGTTTTTCAACCGGGGTGCCGCGGCACCTTAGGGTGCCTCGGCGCCACGATTGGGGTATTGCAAAGTTTAGAGCCTTTAGGCATTTTTTTCGAAATTTACTTAAGTGTAGTTCAAGATAACTCATTGTCAGTTCTATTTTGCTACGAGATATCTAGTAAGCAAAGAAACTATCACTAATCGCATGTTAATGTAATGTTCTACGCTACGTGTACGCACGTCTTGTCACGAGTTCGCCCAAACCACATTGCTTGGCCTTCATGTTCCCAGTCCCAGTACCAGGCCAACCACCAGAGAAGAACGACGTGGACACTTGTGTCTTGTATATGCTTTAAAAAGCGTTGCATTGTACTTTGAAAAGCGTGTGGTTTCAATCACAAAGTAGGTGCATATTACAGTATTTTCATAGTATTCAAAAGCAATGATGACAAATAAACAATTTTTTATCATTTTTTTAATTTAAATTTTTTAAATTGATATGAAAAAGATAAGAAAAAAATAATGAAATATTTATTTTATATATGCATCAAAATAGTATAAAAAAACGTAACAAAAATTGTTTATCAATAAAATGATAATATAAAATGATGATATATTTGATAATAAAACTATATTTAAAAAACAATAGCGAGACTATTATTTTACATGTAGGTATTTCGACAAAATTCAATGAACTTAAATTTTGATTTTGAACACGTAGAAACACTTTTGCGTTGCGCGTAATATTCGTTTTCGCAAAAAATTCATCTGGCCCATTAGTCCCCCCTTATTCAGATTCTAGATCCGCCGCTGGTCTAGGGTGTCACGATTTGTTATTTTTCAATTAGATGTGCCACTCAATGAAAAAGGTTGAAAAACACTGAATTAGGCTATGACTTGTCCAATCAGAAATTGTGATATTTAGTCATTCGCGCCTACAATTTCCACATTATAGAAGAACTTATCCTAAAATTCGTGTTAATTGTTAATACTATAAAGAAACTTCTAGTTTCGTACCATAGTCCATAGAACTCTAATTTCTGCATATATTAATGGGCTCATTTCCTCTCCTAAATCTTTATTATTAGTTTTGTTATGATTTTAAAATTGGTGCATTCCAATGCTAAATATATTAAATGAAGAATTACTAAATATTTATTAACTCCTTAGTTATTTCTTTAGGAAAATTAAACATTCAGGTTAATATTTTTAAAAACATGTTGTAATTTGTTATTCGTTGTTCAAAATTCCCTATATACCTTTCTATCTAATAGAAATAAATATACATAGCCTATAAATGAAAACACGTAGGCCTATCAAAAGTTTTGTTTATAGGTTTATCTTAATTAGCAGTTCGTTATGAAACTATCGTTATATATCCTACAATAAATCAAAATGACATCTTAAATATTAATATAAAAAGAAAGAAACAATTATATAAAAGCACTACATATCAAAAAAAAATATCTAACAACTTTTTTAAGAGCTTAAGAAACTTTCACGTGTCTTGATAATAAATTAATATATTGAGATTTTCATGAACTTTTCGGTTGACTTATAGATTAACATATAAAAAAAAGCAATAGTATATTGAATATTTTAATTGCTTTAAGACACAAATCTTATCTGGTTATATAACCTGATATAAAATTATGAAGAAATTTGTATTTATGATTGGAAAAAGGTGGAAAAACTTTTTCTAAAAGTCGGTTCTTTACAATATGTAAAAATCTAGCAACGAGTTGCTTAACTTTCCCCGGAAACATTTAGTGGCGCCATCTGTTTTGAAATTTTATTTTAAATCTTTTTATAATTTTAATTATTATAAAATGGCAAAAAGCTTAATTTTCAGTGTAGGGATGGTTTTTATAAAAAAATTCTAAATGCTAATAACGAGTAAAATCGTCATTAAGTCCGACCCTACTGAACATGATTCCCTTTAACACTCCACTTCCTTGATCTTAAATCACCAAAATTTAATAGCTTCAATTTCCCTAATACACAAACCTTCCTACAAAATTGCAGAAATTTCGAAAAAAAAAAACGCTTGGAGTTATTAAGCTTGAAAGAGGGTGAACAAAATCGTGCTTCCCACACACACAAACACATACTAACATCTATACATACAGAAAAAAAAAACCCGAATTTTTTGCATTCCTCGACGTTTCCAGGTGTCCGAGCCCAAAAATGTAAAATCTTGTAGGGTCATTTTTTGACCGATGGCCATACTTTTTCTTTGTTATATATAACAGTTGGGAAAGTAAAATTGATATGAAATACGATAATAATGTGAAATAAAATAAAAATATATAAAATATATATAATATTATTATCATTATATTTATGTTTATAATATGAAATATATTAATAAAAATCATAAATGATTTGTAAGGAAAAAATTGTGTATTTAAAAAAAAAGATCTAATCTGGGGTGTTCTCTCTTTAATTGCTGTATTACAAAATTATTTTTTGTATAAAAAAAAGGGGTTATTAAAATATTTATATAAAATAGTTTATTGAAATTTCATATATACTTTAATAAAATAGTTTTTTTTTTCATAAAATAATTTTCTTCATGCTTTAAAAACTACAAATTACACATTATTACAAAAACGATCAAATTAATACAATNAAGAATTTTTGTTTATCTGCAAGTCTCAATTAAATTGTTATACCAAATGATTTTGTAAACATTGTTATCTTCGCCTTGAATATACATTGAATAAATATTACGCTTAGAAAGATAACCTAGGAAGGGTTGGAGTAATAATAAACGTATATAGTCCCTATTTTGTGACACCTGACGAAACATTATTTACACTAAACAGTCAATTGAATTCATATTTCTAGTAGGAAAGAAGTGTTTTGCGTAGAAATCGTTGGTTATTTTGGCATTTTGTAAAATAAATATAAATACAGCATATATGTTAAACTTTTTCAATCTATTTTTTTTTTTTTTTTATCAATGTTCTTGCGAAAAGAAATTTTAATCCGTATGAGAAGAGTAGAAAAATATCGATAATAATCCAGCACGATTCTTTCAGGCTCTGAGAAATCTTGATTAAACACACAAAATATATATTAATAATTATTATTTCTACAACGTTTAAAAGCTCGCTTGTCTGTCCTTCCAATCAAAACAACGAACAAGTCTTTTTTTAAGTCTTTCTTCTGTGATAATTATCATTCTGTGTGACCTTTTGGATCGTATTTAAGTTTAAACAGCAAATTCTTCTTGATATTTCACTTTTTCAGCAATATATAGCTTAAAAAATAAAATATAAAAATTAGAATTGTTAACCAAAATCGCGTAGACCGTGATTTCTGTGCAAACTTGTCAATATCCTTACATAAACATATCTCTTGCTCTTCAATAGGTAATTCCTTTTCACCAAGACGACTGAGAATATTTCTTATTGATTCCAATATTACCATTGATTGGTTTTGCGTGTAATTTTGTTCATAGTTATAAGGATCAAAAAAGCTATATTTGATATATATTTGATTGAAGCAATTGTTTTCCTTTTCTTGAGTAGCTTTTTATGCAATAACACTAATGAAATAATAACAATAAAAAACTTTATATGAAATACTTAATTTCCAATTTGAAAATTCATAATCGATAATTTACCCATAAACAAACATCTTCAAAATCCGAAAATGGAGGATTAAGAAGCATTCAAATAACATTACCGATTTAAGGTAATCATTAAATGCCCTGTATTCCCTTCTTGGTGTATCACTGATCTATTAATTATTCAAAAATAATTTAATGAAAAATTAAAACAATGTTTAGAAAATTAATTCATAACAATGGTATAAAATCTTACTAATTCAATTGTAAAGATTATTTCCAAAATTGTGGAGAACTCAAGAAAGGAAATTTTATTGCCTTAAGTATGATTCGGATGTTTAGTCATAAGCCTGTCTCCAGATATAAAAGTAATAAAACAAGTAAACAAATGGAAGGATGATCCTACAAGCTGCTCCCAGGAGTCAAATCTTGTCGATCGATCGGATTTCCTTTCTTAAATAAGGAAGATAATTGGAGAAAAGGTAGACTGTAAGTGAAGGCAAAAGGCTGAGATCTCGAGTACCTGGTAATCTCTTAAGGATAGAGACAAGTTACTCTTCTAAGAGAAATAGTGCTCAGATAGTGTTGCTAGATTTTTACGACTGGATTAAGGAACACTTAAAAATAATTAATGCTACCACTTACTAACTTACTTTACTTCGTCTCATACACAAATAAAATAGTATTAATTAAAATCGAATGACTTTTTTAGTTAATTAATAGCTAAAACGTTCTATTTTTATATTTTTAGTATTCACATTAACTATAAATATCTCCATAATTTTAGTTTTATTTATACTTTATAAAATTCAATGCTAAGCCATAACTTTCTAGGGGGAAAGATATTGATAGACATGTTTGAGATACAGGTTCAACTCTACATCTCGAAAACCTCTATCTCGAAATTTATTTTTTCCTCTCCATTTTCAGCTTAAGTTCAATATATTTTCCATGTTTATCTCAAATAATATCCTCCTAAAATGTCTATATCTCAAATTATAGACGAAAGTGTCGATTACATATTCAAAGTATAACGGCTTACATTTTGCATAAATTGTAGGTCGAGAGACATCCATTGCGATATAGTAGGTAGTTGCAATTCACTCTGCTTTTTTTTCTGATTGGATACAAGTTTGGCTTGAGTCTTATTGGTCAAAGAAATCAGCCATCAGAAACTATTGACAAAGTATTTTTGTTAAGGTATGCCAAAAATGTTTTATTTATACTTAATTCAGATATGTACTACACTTGCATCTGTATGAATACAATACTGAACCTGCAAATCAAACCTATTACTGTTTAGGAACTTCTTTCTCGAATTCTGTCTATCTGAAATTTTCTCCCGTACCTGCGAGATTCTAGATATACGGTTGGATCTTAGATATACATGTGGCAACTTTTAGGTATGGTGAGGTACTAAGAGTATAGAAGGAACAAGAACGAGGCAAACAAACTCCATATTCTGTCAGAGAGCAGTCTCCCCACATTTTCCCCTCAGAACAGTTTCTTTGATTATTTACAAATTAATACATGTAGTGATATCGGACCTCCTCGACCTTCCTCAACTGTGGTTTTGTCGGTCCATATGCAATCCATTTGCATGCAGTCGTAAAGGGTAATAAGAAATGTAGACAAAAGGCAATAAAAAGGAAGGGAGTAAAGGCGAGAAAAGGGATAGTCAGAGTAGGTAGCAGGACGGTAGAGAGAGGAAGAGTGGCAAAGTGGTGGAGTCCGAAAGTGAGATTAAAGATTAGAGTTTTTTGTGTTAAGATATTTGGTTGGTCCAGTTCTGTGTGACGAACCGGTGGGACAGAATCCGTTAGATCAGATCGGATTCTCTACAATACGTATAGTAAACTGTATGCACCAATTGGTTTTTACATGATGTTTATTTCATTTGTCATTGTATATATCAATTTGATACAAATATTTGAAATTAATTATTTCAAACTTTGCTTTTTAATAAAAATATTAAATTATTTCTTGTCGTTTACCTTCATGAATCTAAGCTAATGTAATGTGATTTTAATGTAAGTTTTCAAATATATTTCAAAATTACAATCGTAACCTTAGATCGTTATTAATACGTTTAATAAAATAAATTTATGACTAATGCATCCATTGCAGAAACAAATTGCCACAAGCTAAATCGTCTCTTGAGTTTATTAATTATATACCTAAATTTTAATTTAAAATACAAAAATTTAATATTATTTTTTAAATTAAAACTTTACTTTTCATTCATAGCAAAAAAATCACGAACACAATAAAATAACTACTACCAATAGATAAGGTACAATATTGAAACGTTCTTAAATGCTTAATACATTGGCCTATCTAAAAATATCCAAAAGGAGCTAATTCAAAAATTAATAATATTTGATTAATTATATGTGCCTTTTATTTAACACGTGTATGAGGATTGTATTGGGAATTGTCCGTTTAACAATATTTGACATTGATTCGTTTTTTGAAACCGTGTTTTCGTATTTATTTACTATTGAACACAAGACTGTGTTATTATTAAAACACTTGGCGTTTATCCACTTTATTCAGTTGAATAAAGTGGATACCAGAATCAAAACTGAAATGAAATATGAATGCACAATAATGTATCCAGTGTACTATACAGTGACATATATCAATATGCACATAGGTCACATAGTGCAAAGGGAAATTACCATTTGCTCTTGCACCATTTGAACCCTCATAAGTGTGGAGAATTTTTAAGTGGTGTTTCACAATTTTTTGACCATGTAATTATAGGGACTCAGATAATGAATACTCATTAGACAAGAACCCTCTGTATAAGAGAATTAAAAAATTGGTATTCTGAATAAATATTCATTCAATAGAGAAGATATTTATGGAATACAAAACATATCTCCCGTAATCCTGTATTTTTACCTTTTCCAATAAGCTGCAAGTAATTTCAACAGGTACAATTGTTCCATTTTTGATATGATTTTCAATTAATTCACCATATTTAGAACCTGAAGTATTTCGTTCCTCCCGCAACAGATCACCTGCTGAAAGATGAACAAATCCAAATTCCTAAAAAAAAAAAATTAAAAGGTAAACATTAATTTTTTTAACTTTTCTTGTAATTCACTTACATTCTATTACAAAATCCAATATTTTTCAAAATAGCTTAAGCATTACAAAAAAATTAATTGAATGTGTTGCAAGAAGTTGATAAAGGCTCAAAAAAGAAAGACATTGTAGCAAAGTTTGGAATTCCTGTGAATAGTATATCAAGCATAATAACAAATTTTTTAATTATGGGACTTATTAGTCCTGTCAGGCTTTAGAGCACATTTGGACTTAACAAGATTTTTCTTGTTTAATATTACAAAAATAAAATATTTTTGTTTTATATAAAGAACTTTTATCAGAGAAATTGGCAGATTAAATGCATAATTATATATATTAAGTATTTGATAACTTTTAAAATATAATAAGGTCAAAATTTAAAAAAAAAAATTAAAATGCATGACAAACCTGAAATAAAATTCATTAGTTTAATAATTTATGATTTGTAAAAATGTAAAAAGCTATTTTTTCCCATTTACACACAAGAAAACTTCACATAATATGCATGTTGAATAGGGTTTTGATATGTATCAATATCAGATGGAAATTTTTTTGATAAAAGATTATCTATTTATTTATATATAAGTCTTCTATCCATATTAACTATTAAAATGTTAAACAAATTCATAAATCTATAAATCACAATGTAGAAAATACAAATTTTTAACATTTACAAAAAAAATTCTCTCAGGCCTGATGGGATTTATAAGTCCTAAACATATTTTGATCTCATACGGCTTGCATATAATTAATTCTAAAAACATAATACATTGAAATCAAACTACACATATGTAGAATATATATTAAAAAATACAAAGACAGTTAACTTATAAACAATAAGTAGAATTTGGCAACAAAGAAAGCAATATCAGCTACTACCATTCAAACAACACATGATGTGAAACTTTTTTCAACAAAACTAAAACAGGAACAGTTTGAAAGTTACTACCCTATAGAAGAGAAAAAGAACACTTTATACAATGATAAAATGTAAGTCCCAGAAAGCTATAATGCATACACTATGAAATAAAAAATATCAAAGATAGTGGGACTAGAAAGTCCCGTCAGGCAATAAAGGGTTAA